AAGCATCAACGAAGAGCTCAGAGTGGGGAAAGCCATGATCCGCTGTGCAGTTTAGAAGGATCACCTTGGCTGGGAGGCCAGTTAAGACGGTGACAAGCAAGGTCAGAAACAGTGACGGAACCAAGTCTGTGACCTGGGACTTGTGAGTCTCCCAGCAAGGTGTGATTGGCCACTTGGCAGGGAAGTTGGCTGGTTTCTCCACTACTGAGTTAGTTTTCAAAAAAAATATAGGCTAATAACTCTTTTTAAAACATTTACTATGGGCACCGGGTTCTAGTCCTGGTTGCTCCTCTTTCAGTCCAGTTCTCTGCTGTGGCCCAGGAAAGCAGTGGAGGATGGCCCTCTTCCTGTACCCGCGTGGGAGAGCAGGAAGAGGCACCTGGCTCCTGGCTTCGAATTGGTGCAGCTCCGGCCATTGCGGCCATTTTGGGGGTGAACCATTGGGTGGAAGACCTTTCTCTCTGTCTCTGTCTCTCTCTCTCACTGTCTGTAACTCTGCCTGTCAAATAAATAAATAAATAAATAATCTTCAAAAAAACATTTATTTATTTATTTTAAATGCTATGAGACGCACAGAGGTGGTAGGGATGGGGGGCATAGACAGAGATCTCCCATCTGCTGGTTCACTCCTCAAATGCTTGCATGCTTGCATCTGCCAGGGCGGGACCAGGCCAACACCAGGAGCTGGGAACCCCAAAGACTCCACTACTACAGCCACTACCTGCTGCCTCCCAGCCGTTCATTAGCAAGGAGATGGGATTGGAAACATCGCTAAGACTTCAACCAGGTACTCAAATATTTGATGCGGGCTGTCCCAACTGGTATCTTAGCTATGCTGTCAAACATGTGCCCCCAAAGTTACTTTTTACCCCTTTTTAATATTCTGTTCTGTAGAAGATGGCATGTTTAGTCCATACTCAAGAGGAAAGGAACTAATTTCTACCTCCTATCAGGGGACACATCTACATATATTATTTGTATCCTTCTGTATAGAAATTTATTCCTCTCTCACTATATTTCATTTATTTATTCACTTTTATCAGTATAAACTCATGGATTTTTTTATTCTTTAAGTTTTAGTCCAATATTAATGTTATTTATTTCATTGCTCCAATTATTCCATCTTTGGCCATGGGGAGCTCTTTCTGGTTGGATCCTGTGTATTTTTTTTTTTTTTTGATAGGCTCCCAACCACTTTTATTTCCTTACTTTCTAGCACTACAAGGTATTCCAAACTCATCCTATATTCTCCATGTTCCCAAGTCCTGAAGTTAGCTATTTCTCCAGGATCCCCATTTCCTGAGTTGGAAGATGGTATTTAGAAACCAAGGTCCAGAAAACGGGTGTAGTCTTTGCTACTCGGGGTCACTGCTTTCAGGCATAAGGGACATTTTTTTTAACATCTCCCTTGGTAGGTGCTGTTTCAGAGGGAAAATGAACAATTTACACTTGGCCAGACATGCAGGAGTGTGTGTGCCAACAAAAGTGCAATCCATGAACCACCAGCCTTGGCATTAGCATTAACTGTCAGTTTGTTAGGCATGAGAATCTCAAGCCCCACCCCAGAACTATGGAATCAGAAACTGGGGTTGGACTCAAGAATCCATGGTTCAGTAAGGATTGCAAGGGATTGTTTCATACAAGACAGCTTGAGGCTGTGGGATGTAGGCTTAAAATTCTGAGTTAACTATTAGGGTATTTTGCATGCAGTCCAGTACCAGCTTCAGGTAGTACCCCATGGTAACTGTCAAGCTGGCTGGCTTCTTAATCCAGCTGTGACCTCAGTCCTTGGATGTTTGCTGCTCCGATGACCTGGGCATTGCCAGACAAGAGCTCAGGGGCCAAGTAGAAGCAGCCAAAACCAGAACAGAAGAGTCAGTCCTCAACAAAATACTAGTAACATATAACATGTAATTTATCCCAGGAATGCAAGGCTGATTTTAAGATCTAAAAAGCAAGTAATGTAATACAGGATCAATATGATAAAAGATAAAAACCCACATATCATCTCAATAGACACAGAAAAAGCATTTGACAAATTCAGCACCTATCTATTATGAAAACACTGAAATCAGGAATGGAAGGAAACTTCCTCATCTCACAAAGGGTACCTATGAAAAACTTACAATAAATAACATACTGAATAGCAAAAGACTGAATATTTCCCCACTATGACAAAGAACAAGGTCAAGAACCATGCTTGCATCATTGTTTTTACTTAGATATTAGCCAAGGAAATGAAATAAAAGGTATCCAGATTGGAAGGAAATGAATAAAACACCTCTATTTGCAGAAGACAATTCTGAAGGAATTCACAAAAATTCTATCAGAATTAATAGGTAAGCTCAGCGAGGCTGAAGGATATCAGATCAATGTACAAAAATTAACTGTATTCCTACATATTTGTAATAAATTATCTGATATGAAATTAAGAGAAGAATTTCACCTCTAACATCATTGAAATACTCAGGAAAAAGTTTAACAAGAGAAATATAAAACTCATACCTGGAAAATAAAAAAGATTGCTGAAAAAGATTAAGGAAGCCAAATAAATGTCAAGACATCTCACGCCCATGGTTTGGAAGACTCAGTGTTAGGATGCCATTACTCCCCAAACTGACCTACAGATTCAATGCAATCTCTACCAACATCCCAGCTGACTTACTTTTAGAAGTTCACGAGCTGATCCTAAAACTCACATGAAAATTCAAGGACACAAAATAAACAAAGCAATCTTGAAAAAGAGGAATAAAATTGGAGGAAGCAGTATTCTCAATTTCAAAACGCCATAAAACTACAGCAATCGAGAAAATGCAGTATTAGCATAAAGATAGGCATGTAGGCCCATGGAATAGAATTAGAATCCCGAAATAAGAGTACCAAGATAACGCATTGGAGGAAAGAAGTGTTTTTCACCAAGGGTGCTGGCACACTGGATATGCAAAAGAGTGCAACCGAGGCCCTATCTCAGTCTACAAAAGGTCTTGTGGTGAGAGGAGGTATGTCAAGTTTAAGGAACCACAAAGCCAATACTGCTAGGATGCAGAGGTTAAGGGCAAGGGATGGTTCAAGAGAGATATGAAGGAATAGCCAAGGTCTGGAACAGATGATGCAACACATGTAAAAGTGAAAGTTTTCTATGATATGGAGAGACATTTTCTGGAAATGTAGAATGGATATAAGGGTCCTAGAAACATGTCCTACTGCTGGGGTTCACATCCCGATTCTACTTATTAGCTATTTGGCCTAGGCACTCATTAACTTCTCAGCAACTCAGCTTCTTTATCTGAAAAATGATGGTATACTGATGGTACTTTAGTTTGCAAGCTTGTTGTTAAGATTAAATGAGGAGGCGGGTGCTGTGGCATAGTGGGTAAAGCCGCCGCCTGCAATGTCAGCATCCCATATGGGTGCTGGTTCGAGTCCCGGCTGCTCCACTTCTGATCCAGCTCTCTAATTTGGCCTGAGGAGGCAGTGGAAGATGGCCCAAGTGCTTGGGCCCCTGCACTGGCATGGGAGACCTAGAAGCTCCTGGCTCCTGGCTCCTGGCTTCAGATCAGCCCAGCTCCAGCTGCTGCAGCCATTTGGGGAGTGAACCAGTGGATAAAAGACCCCTCCCCCACTCCCTCTCTCCTTCTCTGCCTCTAACTCTTTCAAATAAATAATCTTTTTTTTTTTTTTTTTTTACAGGCAGAGTGGACAGTGAGAGAGAGAGAGACAGAGAGAAAAGTCTTCCTTTGCCGTTGGTTCACCCTCCAATGGCTGCCGCGGCCAGCGCGCTGCGACCGGCGCACCGCGCTGATCCGATGGCAGGAGCCAGGAGCCAGGTGCTTTTCCTGGTCTCCCATGGGGTACAGGGCCCAAGCACCTGGGCCATCCTCCACTGCACTCCCTGGCCACAGCAGAGAGCTGGCCTGGAAGAGGGGCAACCGGGACAGAATCTGGCGCCCCAACCGGGACTAGAACCTGGTGTGCCGGCGCCGCTAGACGGAGGATTAGCCTATTGAGCCGCGGCGCCGGCCCCAAATAAATAATCTTTTAAAAAATTAAATGAGTAATAGCATGTGTAAGTTGCCCCCCAAAGAACTAGATACATACTCTTATAATTATGGAAATATTTGGTGTCATTTCTTGGTATAGTTTCAACTTACTATAATTTCTGACAGTTATTAGCAGCATGATTAATGCTAGCTGTTAGTATTATTTCAATACAATCCTATCTTTGGGTGAGGGAGGAGACACAGAGAAGTTTCTGCATGTGGGCAGAATCCTGGAGGGTCATAGTAAGAATTACCCAGCACTCAAATTCTGTGTGGGCTGTTGATACACTGGCCAAATGGCCAGTTTATCTTGTGCTCCACCTGCAAGCACCACTGCACTGGGTGGGCATAGAGGGCACAGCATAAGTAGGAATTTGTAATTCTCTAACCAGGAGAAGCTGCCCTCCTAGAGGGAGGAGTTAGCCAATCTCCTCCCCGGCCCCCACCACCAGCTCTGGGGTCTCATTCCCTCTAGCCTGACCTCAGCTCTGGGCTTCAAATCTGGTTTTCCCAACACAGCAGGCAGCAGCTGTGCTGGACTTCCTGTCCTGTGACACTCCCTGGCACAAGACCACTCCCAGCTGAGAGTCACCATCTGGGGGACAGGCCTGTTCAAACGACCTTCTACCCATCAGAGGCCAGGTACTGTTTTGCTTTGTTAATTGCCTATCAAGCTGTCACCTAGAGCTTAGTGAAGGGTATGAACATACCCATAAATTATCCAGTATTCAAAGGCAATTTTGATATTCCTATTGGGAGCCGTTTTATGCTCAAATGAGCGTGCGGTATTCTGCAAAGGTAAGCAATCCAGGGAGCTGTTAATCATTTGAACCTCGGGTGTCTGAATGGCTGCAGACAGCAATTGATAGGCACCAGGGGTGGTTCAACATGGGACATGAATGTGTACTTGCTGCTGGAGGACCCGCTTGGGAAATATTTTTCAAAACTGGAGTAACTCACTGCATTGTTTCACAATTCACAAGTGGCTTGCTGTGACAGTAACAGGGTTCTGTGGGAAACCTGGAGATCTCTGTGTCGCTGATAGGATGCTGAAGGTTAGCGTGGTGGCAGGAGGGCCACTCGGAGTCACAGCCACAGAGGGAGCCTTCAGAAGCCATGAGGAAATGCTTCCAGGCTGTGGGAGAAGGGGACATTCCATGTCAGTTCCGCCTCTTCCTCCCCCTCCTCCTGCTTTCTCTATTCTTTCTCTATTGCAGCCTGCTCTGCTGACAATTCTAACCAGACTCAATCATGTCCCAGATTCTGGGCCAATCTCAACAGGCAAAGTCAAGGCCGCTCATTCATTCAGCTTTCTTTGCTTCCATCTGTCAGCACACACACGATGACAGGCATTGTTCCAGGCATGAAGGCCTGGTACCTCCCTCAGCTCACTGCTGAGGGCTGAAAATGGACACATAAATAATCTTAATCTCCAATTTGTTCTTCCTGGCCCAGAGTCAATTGGTCCCTGACTCTGGTTTGCTCAAAAAATTTTGCTCCATAGGCTCTCCATTCTAGTCCTATGCTACGTGTTAGCTCCCAAGTTACAGTCCACTATGGAAGAACCAAACCCCATTCTCTCCCACCCCCACATGCACACTTTGGAGTGTTCCTTTGGTATTTAGGACCAGGCAAGGTAGGCAGAGCTACACTGGTGGGGCACTGCTTACAGATGGGATCTTCTTTGGGCTTGCCCTTTCTTCTCCTCTTCGGGATATTCTCTGACCTGCTACCGACCCATTGGATGGGGTAGACCAGATGTACCCTTTCCCCTTCCCAGGAGACTGGCCTGGCAGTCTGGTCATCTACTGGCTCCCATATTTCTTTTGCATGATACTGAGCTGTCAGAGTAGTACTAACTTGCTGATTGGGATGACTGTCACCCTTGGACCACAAGAACTAGCTGGTGGTTTTGACTTGATGTTCTACTGCCAGCCACCAGGCTTCAGCTGTGTGCAGGTGCCTGTGCTTGGGCTCTTGCCCATCCATGTTCTGATCACGGTGGTGCAGGGTGACAGGCCTCCCACACCCTGTGCACCCTCCTCAGCCTTCATACCACGTGGATGGGCAGTCCTCCAGGGGCTCCTGGCCTGCCTCCTCTGGGGGCTTTTGAGATCAGCTGTTGTACTGCAAGATTAATGAGCCTTCTGACAGATAATCTTTCCTGCCTCCAACCAATGCGGCAACTTTTGCCCCAGGGTTGGCCTTGAACTGTCCTGCACCATGGCAGGACAGGATATTGTTGTATGATGGGACTGCTCTTCTTGCTCTGCCCAGAGACCCCACCAATTTTAGTAACATCTTGGTTTTATGCTTTAATTCTGGTCCATGCAATTGGAACACAGGGGAAAAGAGAATGAAATCAAAATGATCTCAGGAAATTAAGGTTTGAGAGAGAGAGAGAGAGAGAGAGAGAGAATGGATTTGATAAGAAAGCAGCTGAAGAATCAAATTTGTTTTCTTTGGAGAAGAGAAGACAAATGAGTGGTTTAATCCTTGCCTTCATGTTCAGGCAATGATTTTATGCAGGGGAAATAAACAAATTATTCTTTATGTCTGCAAAGTGTAAAGACAAAGCGGACCTTCCAAATCATATGTTCCCCCTTCACTGACTAGCGTTTTGCTGTCTCAGAGTTGAAGGAAATTAGCAGAAATTTATATGAAAAAATAAATTATGTTTAATCCTTGGGGAATTCCCAGCTCACTCCAGCCAAATTTCCACACGCCATGCTCTGGGCACACCAGATTCCCACCGTGCCCAAAGACGCCTTCTTCCTTTACCCACAGCATGTTTTTTCCCTAGACTGGGCTTCTCCGTGGCAGTTGAGGATCCTGTTGCTCCGTTAACGTGGCTTCCCAAGGCAGTACAGGACAATGAAGACAAGTAGGTCACCTGTTGAGGTGTCTTGCAGGTGGAAAGGATGCGTTTGGTGGTTGGTTTATTGGATATGGTGGTGACTGGGAGGACTCAGGGGAGGCTCCCAAGCTCCTTTCTTGGACAACATTCAGTGGGAGCATATTTGTTTCCTGGGACTGCAGTAACAGTGCTACAAACGGGTGGCTCAGGTCAGCAGGGACTCACTGCAGCATCTGAAGGCCAGAAGTGTCAACTCAAGGTGCCAGCAGGGCCGTGCACCTTCTGAAGGTGCCAGGGAAGGATCTGTTGGAGGCCTCTCATCTAGCTTTCAATTCAGCCCACCAAGACAAGTAGCTCAAGCAATAAAACTGGTTTGGTTGGAGAGAGGACACCTTGAATTTGGGGGCAGGCTAAGTTTGAGGGTGGAGGGACTGTGGAAGCCCTTGAGATGTCTACAAAACTATTTAATATTGTATTAGCTTTCTGTTACTATAACAAAATATTCAAAGCAACCCACTTATGAAGAAAAGAGGCTTAACTCATACTTCTAAGGGTTCCAGGGTCCACATCTAGTGATAGATTTCTTGTTGGCAGAGCCCTGAGGGCACCACACAGCAAGACACAGGGAACAGGTATGTGTGCCTATCTGGTCTCTCTCCCTCCCCTTACAAAGTCACCAGGATTCAACCTCAAGGGCTCCATCTTAATGACTTTATCTGATCCTGAGCACTTACTTCCCAAAGCCTCCCCTCTAAACACCATGATCAGAGTGTTTCCATCTTCTCAATTTGATTCACATCAGACTTTGGGGGTTCAACTCTTGAATGAGATAAGGGAACACAAACTGTATTCAAACCATAGTAGATATAGCAGAGAGTTTAGGTATGGATGGGCTGGGATTTGAGAGCCTTCAGCATTTATGGTGGCTTTTTCTAAAAAAAAAGGGTGGATTTCAGTGACTCTTTGGGATAGGCCAGATCAATTCATTTTTGCAACCCCAGCACCTGGCCACACCCCAGTCCCTGCTGTAAATGTTCAAAGAATAACTGCCAGTTGAGATGAAAAGGTTTCTTCAGCTTGTCATTAGTTTGAGATAAGACGGCTTTGCATGGGCGATTGCTCACCCTCCTCTGGCTCTGAGACACGAAGGGAGTGTTCTCTGCAGGAATGAGAAACAAGCATCCTGAAGGTTTCACTCTTCATTCTCCTGGAGTCTAACTTAGTAAATCTGTCCAAAGCCTCCCACTCATACGCCCCAGGGAAAGCCAGGAGGTCAGGGGTGAGGGATCCTAGGGTTGTGCCCGTCTGCTGACTTGTAAGAACACGAACAGAGGAAAGGCGTAGGAGTGGGGCTGTATCTGCGGCCACGTCTCAGCGAATCTTCATCTTCGCCATCAGCCCAGCTTTCCGATACACTAGATGGTAATGAAGTTTCCAAATAAAACCTTGTCTATGTCACCTCCTGTGCCCCTCCATAGCCTGGGACTGGGGGTAATCTGATCTTGGGGTATCGGGGTAGGGGAGCTTCTGCCACCTGGCTGCGCTGGGGCACTGCTATGGGGGCGGGGGAGGGCCGTGGGGTGGTGTGATCATCTGCTGGGCAGTGGATCCTTTGTGCCTGTTGCCTGGTGACACCCAGGGGCCCCTCTCAGAGCCACCCTCCAGTTTGCCATTGGTCCACTGGTGCTGTTTGTTGACAATAGACACTTCCCTGGCTCTGGGTTATGAAAGAGACCTCGGGAGCTTGGGTTTCAAGCTGCAGGGCCAGTCCAAGTGCATTTCCTTAACTCTTTATGTCCCCTGCCAGGAAGGCGCCGCTGCAGCTGCTAGGGCCCAGAGCGTGTGCCCACCCCAGCCCGTAGCGCGACTCTTCCCTGCTTCATGGGGTGCAGCTGGGTGAGGGCTGTCTTCTCTGCTGGAGAGACAAAGCCTTCTTCCCTTCTCACCTCTGCCTGGGTCTTCTTGTAAGCCAGCTGAAGCAGACAGACTCTGTGAGCAAAGGAAGCCGTCCAAGCTGAGCTGGGAAGGCAGTCACATCAGCAAGCGAACGGTGTGTCTTGTCAAGGCTACGTTCTGAAACGCCTGCAGTATCAAAACCTCTTCTTGGGATGCCCAGTTCTGTGGAGAAATGAGCTAACTCTCCCTGGATGGGGGCCAGGGCCAGGCAGGAGAAGAGAGGACTGGGGGACAGCCCAGGGGACTGCAGGGAGGAAAATGAGACAGAAACGGGGTCCTGGGGGTCCCCAAGGTTGGATCCTGCTGGCCCAGTAAGTACATCATGGCCCATCACTGTGGCACCATTTATGCAGCCCTGTTCTCTGCTTGGGTGAGCACTGGCATGTGGGCTCTTGAGGCAGCCCCCACACCCTCCCCACTTCCTGCCTCCTCCCTCCCTCCTGCTGCCCCTTGCAGTCAACTTCCATAACCCTAGCCTAAGCTCCAAGAGAAGTCCTCAAGAGAATTTCCAGACAGGAAGTATTGGGGTTTCTGAACCGTGTCCTAAGGGTGAACAAAGCTATTTCGATAGCAGCCAGCACCCCCCAGCAAGTAGCATTTGAAGCTGGACTAGAAGTGTCGGGATCCCATAACCAGGGAGACCACGCACTTCGGGTCCTGGCAATCCACTTCAGCTGGAGCCGGCAGAGCCCAGCTATCCTGGAGAGCACCGCGTGCCAGATGTGAGGAAAAGGTCCTCTCTCCAACAGGGCTGTGGAGTCCTACTTAGACAGCATTGTTTCATTTTCTCAGTCACCTTTCTGCCTGCAGCAGTTGTCTTCAGAACTTCGAGTGTGACTCTCTTCTTGCATGGGCCATCTGAGGGACAGGAGCCATCATGCCCGTGCAGGTGTGACATGTCTGCACAGAGCACAATGGCATTTTGTCACCATCGGTTTCCTCATCCATTTGGACTAAGAATCAGTTGGAAATGTTGGGTACAGCTAGGTTTTACTTCTGTCTCGTTTTTTCTTTTGTTTCTAGAAAGAGGAGATGTGCTAATTCGAGTGCAATTACTTTCAAGCACTTTATACATTTCGAGTTTTGCTTGCAAGAATGAAGTATTGGGATAATAAATGCGATACAATTCACTCCAATATTAAAAGTGGACAAGTGGATTCCACAGTGCATGGACCAGTGACCTTGAAACAAATTCTAGAAAGATTCGGAAACAAAATCTTTGAGAGAGCATGAGTCTCCTGGGCTGCCGTGACAAAGTACCCCAAACTGGTGCCTTAACCACAGAAATGCATTGTCTCATGGTGTTCTAGCGGGCAGTCTGAGCTTGGGTGTCAGCTGGTTCTTTTGGGGGCTCCGGGGGGAATTTGTTCTGTGCATCTGGTGGTTTGCTGCACTCCTTTGTGCTGGCTTGTGAAACACCACCCTGCTCTCTGCCCCCTCCCCGTGTACATATCTCCGTGTTACTTTCCCCTTTTCATAAGGACACCAGTTATATTGGATTAGGGGCCCACCCTACTCCAGTATGACCTCATCTTAATGACTGTCATCTGCAATGACCTTATTTCCAAATAAGGCACTGGGGTTTATGACAGCAACACAGAGTCTCAGGGCAGCACAACCATAACGAAGGGCTTCTGAGCGTTGAGCATAACAATCATTCGTTTCTAGAAAACAGTGTGTGTTCACTGGTAACAAATCGTGCCAGTCTAACCAGATTTCCTGCTGTCACAGGGTTAAAGATGAGTAACCAGATTACCCGATAGATGGGTAGGGCCCACAGCACCGCCCCCTGCAGCCACCCCAAAGAGTGATGGATATGGGCCTCCCTACCTGTGAGGTCTGATTTCTCATCTGTTCCAGGGTCTCTAAAACCCAGAAGTGAAACACTTTGGTGAGGAAATGAACCCTCAAGCGGCTTCAACATTTTCCCTGGTGGTCAAGGAGCTGTCATAGTTACTATCACGGCAACCATTGTACATGCAGGCAGGCTAGTCTCAGAATCTTCTAGAATGAAACCTCCAAAGCTGGGAAAACAATCTCCTATCGTTTCCCTGTCATCATTCCACTTCCTTTTTATTTCCAAGCCTCATTTGCACCTCTTCCCACAGCGTCTGTCTGTGTTGGCCAGGAATAACAGTGCAGAGGAGTGTGGGTGGCAGGGCCCTAACACCAAGCTTGGGCCTCCATTTCCCGCCATTGTTCCCTCTGTCAGGTGTGGGCTGTCCCGGGGGAAGTTTTTCCAGATCAAAATGGCCTGGTTGTCTGCCAGCGATTCGGGCAGGTTCACAGCCCCAGAGCTCCTGATGGGCAAGAGTGATTCAGATGCAGACCCTGCTTTATCTCCCACGCTTATCACTTATCCTCAGCTGCTAGGAGACAGACAATGGGCACAGAGAGGCATTTTGGCTGAGGCAGGCCTTCGGTGGCCCCAAGGGGTTCTAGAAGCTTCCAAACAACCTGTGCAGGCAGTCTCACCAGGTCACTGTGGGTAGAGATTTCATTTCCCAGAGACCTTTCCATTCTGTGCTAAAGGAGCATGGATTCAATGCGTTCCCTTGGGAAGACAGCATTTCCTTGGGGCCAGAAGAACACAAATGGTTCCCTCTGCATCTGTGACTTCATCCCTTCTTCGAAGCTGCTGTTTCAATTCGCGTTGAAGTGCTCAGGGTTCATGGGCTCCAAAGGGCCGTTCAGAAGATTGCTTCCCACTCTGACCACTTTATTAAAGTAACTCTGATGCTGAAAGTGCTGAAATCCGAATAAGCCCTGGGTTGTACCGAAGCCAGTATCCTAGCCGTGATACACGTGCTATGGTTTGCTGATGTGGTTTCATTGCTGACACTGGGCAAGGCTTGTTTTTTTTTCTTTTTTCTTTTTTTTTTTTTTTTTTTTTTTTTACGATTTCTTATGAATCTGTAATTCTTTTAAAGAAAAGTGTTTTTTTTAAAGTCATCTGGAGGGTTCCCCAAAAGCCAGTCAACATGCCTTGCCATTGGAAAAGCCACATAGTGTTATAGCTGGGAGCACAGGCTTTGTGCCAGACAGATCTCAATTCAAACGCAAGCCTCACCACCTACAAGCTGTGTGACCTTGGGCGAGTTACTTAATCCCTCTGATCTTCTGATTCCTTATCTCAAAGATGAGTGTTAGTGTTTCCCTGATGGGGTGAGTGTGAGGACTAATGAAGTAAGTCAGGAAAGCATTTAACAGTGTGGATGGCAGGTACTTAATAAATATCCCTCTAACATTGTCATCTGTTAACAGGAGAGCCGATGCATATGTTTCCAACAGTGTGTCACAAGCTTAGAAAATTGTGTGTAGCTGAAAGAATTTTATTGATATTGAGAGGCAGAGACAGAGCTCTCATTCACCGATTACTCCCCAGATGCTTACCACGCCCAGGTCTAGGTCAGGCCCAAACTGGGAGCTGGGAAATCAATCTGTCTTTATGTGGGAGGCGGGAACCCACTTACTTGAGCCATTACTGCTGCCTCCTAGGGTCTGCATTGGCAGGAACCTGGAGTTAGGAGCCAGAGCCAGGAATTGAATCCAGGAACCCCAACGTGGGACATAACGTCTTAACCACTAGGCTACAGGCCTGCTCCCTGAAAGAATTTTCCAGCAGCCTGAACGAGTCAGGAGGTTCACACCAGAGTCGAATGTGAGTTGAATGTCCATGGAAGAACTGCTGGAATTCTGTCCTATGTTTTTCCCTAAAAATTTTCCAAATTCCTGTTTCATAATGTGGAATTACATGAAACATGACAGTAGACGCAACATTCTATTTCCACTGCAAATGAGAATTGACTCAAGTCTACAATCCAGGTGCCTGGGCCAGGGGTGGGGTAGGAAACAGCAAAGGTGGGAAGGGGAGGAGCCCTGTCACCTCCTGACTGGTGGGTAAGAGCTACTGGAAGGAAACATATTTTTGGTGACATTTCCGAGGTTCCTGCACTCCAGGGAGAGAAGGGCCACCCTGTTCAGGGAAAGCCTCTTGGCCACCATCCCCGCCTCCTGGAGGTTAGGTCCTGAGGCCAGCTCTCGTCACGCCCTTTCTCGTCCTTCTCTCCCTCCCCAGCCCTATGGCCCAGACATCCTGGTTAGTCATCATCGCTCAGACACCATCTGCACTTCTCCAACCAGGTTGTCCATCACCCCTGGAAAGCCCCTCCCTCCACCCACGCCCTCACTGCCACTCCCCTCTGCCTGTCCTACTCCACTCACTTTTCAAGTCTTCCATCAAATGCTTTATTTCCTTCAGCACCATCCAGAGCTCATCTCTCCTCCACTGATCTCACAGCCTTTACTACAGCAATCCAGTGGAGGCCTACTGTGTTCTGGGGGTCACATTCTGCACTGGGCTCAGGCCATGCCAGGGTGGACATCAGAGTTGGGTGTGCCCCTATTGGATGGAGTGGGGGACAAGCACTGAAAAACAGTCCCAACAGTAACTCTACATTAGCAAACAGTGACAAGTGCTCTATAGGATCAGGGGATAAAGAACTGTGATGCGTGTGCCAAAGGAAGACCAGGAAAAAATGTCTGTCTGAGGGGTGAACCTTATTACGGGCGGGAATTGATGGCTCCATGGGGCTTGTCTTGTGGCTGGAGCTGTGAAGACAGAGCAAGTGTCAGAGGCCATGGGAGCGTAGCTGGAGGTCCAACAACAGTGGGCCGTGAGGTCACAGTAGGCATTTTGAGTTTTTTACCCAAATGTAATATAAACCATTAAAGGCTTTTAGATAAATAAGTAGTGTGGTTTAATACAGAATTTTAAATACGTCTCTGGCTGCTTTTTAAAAGCAGAAATCGGAGTAAAAAGAGGGCTACTGAGGAGGGACTGCAGGGTCCCATGGGAGTGGTGGCCATGGCAATGGGGAGAAGAGGAGAAATCCATCTGTTGTGAAAAGCTGGAAGTTTTTTGGCTGCAGAAAGTGAGGGAGAAGTAGATGTTAAAAGTCACTCCCAGCAGAGTGTGTTCGGCTGAATGGCTAAGACCCCAGGTAAGACGCCACATCCCACGTTGGAATACTGTGTTCAGTTCCTCACTCCAGCCAGCTTCCTGCTAATGCAGACCCTGGGAGGCAGCAGGTGAGGGCCCAAGGAGCTGGGATTCTGCCACCCATGTGGGAGAGCTGCATTGAGTCCCCGGCTCCTGCCTGTGGCCCTGGCTCAACTTCAGTCATTGTAAGCATTTAGGGGATGAAATGATGAATAGAAGCTCTGTCTCTGTGCCTCTAAAATAAATGATCTTTAAAAAAAATTACTCCCCAGTGAATGGCTTGATCACCTGGGTGACTTACAATGCCACCCATGAGGGGAATCCTGCCAGAAGGACAGCAGGTGTAGGAAGAAATGTCCAAGGTGCCATTTCACAGGTGCAGATGTCAGGTAGGCATCAATCCAAGTCCAGAGAGGGGTCAGGGCTGGAGAAACACACTTCAGAAGCCACCAAATGTGGCTTTCAGCCATGTGGGTAAGCGAGATTGCCTTGAACCACAGTGTCAAAGGGAAGACAAGGGTTAAGGAGAGGAAGAGAGCGCATTCGGGACAGGGATCCCAAGAACCTACATTTCTGCCTTGTATCAGGACTTCCTGTCCCCTGAGGGCAGGAACCACGTCTTAAACCAATTTGCAGCCTGGTTTTGCTCTCCTAGGGTTACATAATTTGAAGTTAAAGACTTTGCTGGGTTCTGAAGTAAGGTTGTGAATGATAATATAAATTCGTTCATGGTTGACTGAGCATCTCCTGTGCACCGGGCACTGTGGTAGAAAATGAGGATAGCCTCCAAGTAAGACACAATCTCTAGGGCTGGCATTGTGGCTCAGCAGGTTAAGCGGCTGCCTGCGACACCAGCATCTCATGTGGGCACTGGTTCGAGCCCTGGCTGCTCCACTTCCAATGCAGCTCCCCCTCTCCCCCTCTTCCCCCTCTCCCTCCCTCTCCCTCTCCCTCTCTCCTGGCTGCTCCACTTCCAATGCAGCTCCCTGCTAACGTGCCTGGGAAAGCAGCAGAAGACGGCCCAAGTGCTCGGGACTCTGCTATCCACGTGGGAGACCTGGATGGAGTTCCAGGCTTCCAGCTTCAGACTGACTCATCCTTAGTTGTTGTGGCCATTTGGGGAATGAACCAGCGAATAGAAGATCTCTTTTCCTCTCCCTCTCTTTCTGTAACTCTGTCTCTTAAATAAATAAACCTTAAAAAAAAAAAAAAAAAGACACAGACTCTACTGTACTCAGGGACCTCCCAGGACAGCAAGAGGAACAGATGAGAAGAGACACATCGCCATAACATCTACGTTCACAATGCATTAGGTACAAGCCTTGAGATTTCTATAGGCTGTTTCACATTTCATTGAAAATAATGCAATGAATTGGGTGATGTGATCCTCATATTATAGATAAACTAGACAAAACTGAGAATCTCAGGTATTTGTTCAAGATTACACAACTGGCTGATGGCAGAACAGAGATGTGAATGCAGCCTAGCCTGGCTCCAATTCTGTGCTCCGGGCCTCACCCCCATGGCCTGTTGTGAACAAATCTTGATGTTTTTTCCCTGCCCTGTCCCTGCTGTAGAAATTCCTGGCTTGCCAGCCACAGAACATGGCTCCATGGGATGCAACCATTCCCGTGATGTGGGAACAGAAGCATAGGCTTTTCCCCCAAGAGCTGACTCCCCTTAAAATTTTTTTAAGACTTTATTTATTTATTTGAGAGGTAGAGTTACAGTGAGAGGGAGAGGCAGAGAGAAAGGTCTTCCTTCTGTTGGTTCACTCTCCAAATGGCTACAACAGCCGGAGCTGTACTGATCCAAAGCCAGGAGCCAGGTGCTTCTTCTAGGTCTCCCATGTGGGTGCAGGCCTGCTTTCCCAGGCCACAACAGAGAGCTGGATCAGAAGAGGAGCAGCCAGGACTAAAACTGGCGCCCATATTGGATGCCAGCACTGCAGGTGGAGGATTAACCACTGAGCCATAGCGCTGGCACCTCCCCTTAACTTTTGCAAGATCCCTTCCCTCAAGGAGCCTTAAGTCCAGGAGTAGAGATCTGACGCATAGGCATAAACATCCGGGTTATGAGAATGACCAGTCCCTGGTGTGTCCCACAGTTTCTAGACAGTGTTAGCGGCCATCTTTCCTGTCCTGTGATGGTGTCTGTTCAGTCTCCCTCACAGGGTTGCTTGCTTTGCCTTGGCCTTCAGTTGTGAACACTGGCTACGGGATGATTCTCGGCTCTGCACATTTCTTACCCCAGCCTATTCAATCCTAGGCATGTAGAGAGGAAATACAATTTCTTCTCAACTCTCACAAGTTCATAGTTGAGGTAGACCCATATATAAAGGGCAGCAATAATAGAAAAACAAGTCTTGCTTATTAATGCGCTGTCTTAGGTCATTGATGGTTGCTATCATGGAAATTTATAAGATGTTTATTCAGTCCACGGTTGGTTCTAGAGGGCTCTGCACTGCATATAATGTGATAGAAAAACAAAAAGGCAGGCAGGTATGTGCAGAAGAAGGAGGGACAAGGAGTGGATGTAGTGGCATAGCGGGTTGAGCTAGTGCTTGGGACCCCTGCACCCCATATCAGAGTGCCAGTTCAAATTCCAGCTGCTCGGTTTCCAGTACAGCCCTCTGCTGATACACCTGGGAAGGAAATGATGGCTCGAGTTTTTGAGTTCTTGCCAACTGTGTGGAAGACCTGTATGGAATTCCTGGTCCCTGACTTCAGCATGGCCTAGCTCTGGCTGTTGGGGGCCTTTGGGAGATGAACCAGCAGATAAAAGGTCTCTTTTTCCATCTCCACCTCTCATTCTCTCTCTGTCACTCTGCCTTTCATATAAAGAAAAAAAAAATTAACGGCCTGGCATTGTGGTACAGTGGGTCAAGCTGCCACTTGTGACATCTGTAACTGATATCAGACCACCAGATGGAGTCCTGGTGCTCCACTCCCAATCCACCTCCCAGCTAATGTGCCTGGTAAAGCATCAGAGGATGGCCCAAGTGCTTGGGCCTGCCACCCATGTGGGTAACCAGATGGAGCTTAGGGCTCCTGGTTTTGGCCTGGACCAGCCCTGGCAACTGAGGCCATCTATGGAGTGAACCAATGGATGGAAGATCTCTTTCTCTCTCTGTCTCTCCCTCTCTGTGTCACTCTGCCTTTTGACTAAATTTTTAAAAATCTTAAAAATAAGATGAAAAAATTCCTTATTAAAAGAAAAGAGAGGGGCCATCATTGTGGCATTGTGGATAACGTCATCACCTGGGATGCCAGCATCCCATATGGGCAGCAGTTTGAATCCTGGCTGCTCCACTTCCTATCCAGCTCCCTGTTAATGGCTTGGGAAAATCAGCAGAAGATGGCCCAAGTGCTTGGGCCCTTGCCACCACATGGGAGACCTGGAAGAAGTTCCGGGCTTTTGGCTTCGTTTTGACCCAACCCTGGCCATTGCAGCTATCTAGAAAGTGAACCAGTAGGTAGAAGATTCTCTCTCTCTCTCTCTCTCCCCTCCTCTTCTCTCCCCTCCCCTCCCCTCCCCACCTTCCTCTCCCTTTAATTCTGACTTTCAAATAAAGAAATGTTAGACCCTCTGAGTGCGGATGCTGACACGTCGAGAGGCACGCCCCAAAGACTCAGAGTCCAGACCAGCTGATGCAAAAGCAAGAGGATTTATTTGGTGTCTGTGCAGACGGGCCTCCTGAACTCAGGAGTCGAGAGTGCTCCCAGCACAAAGCCACATGGTTTATATACCTGCAGCAACCAATCAAAATCACTATAGAGTCCATGCACACAGCAGTCCAATCCGTGAGCTGATCATGTGAAGGGCATGCGTCTTCTATCAAATCAGCTACAGGATCACATGGGAGGCCATGCACCTCGTTGCCATTTTGTTGTTTACTTCTTTAGCAGTTCCTTTCCCTGCCAGCACTATCTTGTTCACCCTGAGGGGGACGACGTCTTGCTCCCTTTGTTCCCCTGGTGGGAGAGCGGGGTCCCGCTTCCCACACCGTTATTTGAGTATTAGGAGGCATACAAACTGGGTTAGGTCTTAGCACAGCCAGGCACAAGTGTCGCAGCTAACTAAGCATAGGATCCCTTATTTTTATAGCTGCACCTAATTTTAGCTTTGGGGGAAGAAGTTTAGGGCTATAATTTTTAAATTTTAATTTTATTTGGGGCAAAGGTAACATTGTTTTTAATGGTATTGGCTTAGGTCACTCCATCTTGGTTTGATTTTTAAGGTTCTTCAGAAATAAATGTTTAAAAAAGAAAGGAAGAAAGGAAAGAAGGAAGGAAGAAAGACAAGAGAGAGAGAGATGGAGAGACATAAGGAGCTCGGTGAGTTTTATATTATCCTGCTCTCATGACAGCTAACCCAGTCTCAATTATCAACGCCCTCCCACAAGGAAGGCATTAAGCACTGTTAAGGACCTCATCACCTCCCAGAGGTCCCATTTCCCAACACCACTACATTGGCAAGCAAATTCCAAGATGAGTTTCAGAAACCACATGCAAACTACAGCAGACACGCGGTGCCCACCACATGAGAGAGAGCTCCATGAAAGACAATTCAAAATGGCTGCTTCGAGAAGTGACAAGATTCAGGAAAGCAGTTTCAGACTTTCAGAGGCAGAGAAACGGTGGGGTGGTAAAAACACGGGAAACTAATGGCAGAAAAGGGTCAGCGAGCAAGGCATGTTATGTAGGCTCTCTGATGCTGTCCCCAGCCAATGAGACTGCAGTGATGAGCTTCTGTCCTTCCTGGGAGGGAGAGTGGGGAGGATCCCTTTACACATTTGTGTTCTGCTTGTAGGCAGACAGCAGAGGGCAGAGAGGTTTTGTGCATCGTCGGGTCAACAATCCCTGTGATCGGGGAAGGCATATTCTGTTCTCCCACAGGCAGCTATCACCACCCTCACACCTCTTGACTTGGGTATGCCACATCCTCCTCACAATTTCCTGCTTCAGATCTCTCCCTGGTTTCATCCATCCTTCGGCTTGTAATCTTGAACCAAAAATCTGGATTCAACCTGAGACAGGGAGGTAGAGGGAGCAGTTGAGCAAATTGGGGTCGGAGGGAGTTCCTATTCTCCCATGACCTACGGGATATAGGTTTCAGTTCTCCTTGCTCTGAAGATAAACAGACTCCCCCGCCAGGCTCCCACCTGGGGGTCAAAATTGACCTAGATTGCCCTATAATTCATTATAGGCTCATTGTAATTCTTTCGCAAGCTAAAGGACACACCTAGGAGCCTCCATGAAAGGAAACATCAGGTTATATAAGGAGCAAAAAGGGGCAGCAGCTAGATTCCCACAAATCTCCACCTACTTCCCAGAAAAGCCAAGACTATTTCTCCCCCTTATCAGAATGCATCTCCTGTTTGTTAGAATGTACCTCCCCTTTCATTTATCGACCCATAAAATGTAAAACACAGTTCAGAGATGGAGCCACTCCCATCTTAGTATGCCCCACTCTTTCTGTGGGTATGTACCTTCCCTTTCTCAATAAAATGCTGGTTGCTTGCTCTTCACTATCCTCCAATTTGCTCCTGAATTCTTTCTTGAAACAAAATCCAGGAACTGGGTACTGGGTAGCCTTCACTGTCCAGTGCCAAACCCCTTGCTGAAGACCCTCAATGGGACAACAGGAAGAAGAGACATTGTTAAACTGTTATCTAATGCCTTCCAATATTTTCTTGTGAAATCAGTGCTTTAACTTCACTCTCTGCTCCGGCAACACTTGGCTTTGGACCTCTGTTCTTCTTGTCCCTCCCCAAAATACGCTCTCTCCATATTTTTGGAGCCATCTTCTACTCATTCATCACAGAGACCCCTGTGAAGGGATATGCACCTATCCTACTGTTAGGATTAGCACCTCCTGTGTCAGGTTGCACCGCTGGACGGAGATTTTTGGGGTTAACCAAGGTGTCTTCTTCATCACCGTATCTACTACAGTGTTTGGAAAATAACAATCACTCAGCAAATACTTGTTAAATAAATGAATGAGCAAGTGAGAGATTAATTATAAAGTACTAGGAAGTATTAAGTGCCAAATGAGTAGTTCAGACAATAAGTGTAAGAGAAAGGAGGAAGTGGTCACTTCCAGTTGGGGTAGCCCCAGAAAGCTTCACAGATAAGACATTTCTGCTGGGCCTTGCAGGATGAGATAAAGCCTGTGAAAGTGCTGGCCCAGGCTGACCTGCATTTGGTGTTGAAAAGAAGAGAAATGAATCTGCTTTGGCTAGGTGGAAAGAAGTAGGTGATGGAGCAAGGACAAAAAAACCTTAGATCCATGTTGACCTCCCACCTGCATAACAGCCAGCAGGCCCCCATTTCTCTACCCTACTAATACAGCCCCCCTGCCTTGTCCAGTCCTCCCCACCTGGACTGCCTGGACTTCTGAATAAACCTGGTTTGGCTGTGGCTCCCATGGGGGCAGGTAGTAGGGCCAAAGGTTTTGAGGTGGAAAAACAACAGGCAAGTTCAGGGAACAATCAAGAGATCAGTTTGAAGGATTTACAGTGGAGAAGACAACTAGGTTATAAGAGGAGGAAGGGCAAGCAGTGGGCAGTGCAACAAGATGTGTGCCTCTGGTCTTTTGTACAAAGTAATCAATGCACAAGAGACACAATGCTACTTGAACCTGCCTTTTCCATCAAAGAGATGTGAATTTGAACTTGATTAAGAGAACCTTTGAACAATGCAAATCAAATAAGCAATGCCTTCCAGGGTCGTGGGATAGGGGCAGAACGGGTGAGGTGCAGGATTAGGTAATTACTTTGTCTAGTGTCTCAGTGATGTGAACTGAGGCCAGTTTTCACTGTGCCCTGCATTCTTAGTTTTGACCGAATCAGAGAGCATCTGAGTCGACCTAGGGAAAAGGGTACTTGGAGCAGGAAATACAACAGGGAGGAGAATGGGAAATCCTAAAATCGAGCCAGGAGAGGAAGCAGTCGGTGCTGGCCAGGCTCAGAAGAATGGGGCTCCCTAGTCCTCTTGGCTCCTGGTCTGCTCTTGGGCAGAGCCCTCTCCTAAGGTACATGACAGCACCGGATGGGGACAGAGGGTGTGTGTCATGGCAGCCACCACTGACATTACACCATGTCTGGAGAAGGCACACAGGAAGTGTGGCTAGACAACACACAGGGATCCCGTCCTCTCACCAGCTACACGGGGCCCTGGGGGCTTCTCAAAGGAGGCAGTGCTCTGCTGTGAGAGACTGCAAAGGGAGGTCAGAGCAGGGGCCTTTAGCGTGCATCTCTGCTATTGACGTTAGGGTCTGGGGGCCTTTAGCGTGCATCTCTGCTACGTTAGGGTCTGGACAAGCCAGTGAAACTCTTTAAGACATGGTCTTCTCTCTCCTCTATCACCCTAATGAAGGAGTTGGGTTAAGGATTCTGGTGAATACAGGACAGAATCAAACGTGGTTTCTCTAACTCTCTCACTCAACAATCAACACTGCAGACTTCTGAGACCAAGCGTGTATGGGTTTTTACCCTTTGTACCCAGCAAGCAAGTAATTCTGCAGCAGGCACCTGCTGGGTACCTTCCAATCCCATGCCATCTGGCTCTCTCCACCTGCAGCCACAGCCCACAGGTTGAGGACTCGGTACCCCAACATTGCCCCATCATCAGATGCCATTTGCGAGCACCTGTGCTTCCGAGCAACTAGGCGTTAAATCCTGGTTCCCACAAACCCTTGCTGGGGTTGGTTAATTTGCTAGGGTGGCTCACAGAACTCAGGGAAACACACACTTTTAGTAGTTTATTATAGAGGAGACTAAAGGCACAAAATTACTGTCCAGCCTTGTAAACACACGAGGTCTTTACTATTTGCAGGCATGAAATGTTGCCGAAGGACAGTTCTGTCCACGTATGATTTTTGTCTGATAACACTGACTGTATTCAGAACCTAAAGAGTTACTTGGATTTGTGGGTTTGGTTTTGACCACTAAAACTTCCTCCTTGGGCTATTGACGCAGCCCTGAGAAGCAGCAGGGTCTGCACTAGTGGAGGGCGAGTCTCCCTCAGTCTTCTTGCTCTGCCTCCACTTTCAGTGGTAGTCCACAGTGCCAGTGCGGAGGGTTTAGCTCTCTCAGAAATGCTCCAAGTTCAAAGCTTTAAGGGAAGGCTTTCTGGCTGAATTACTCACTGTTTAGCCTTTGTATTTCAACAGCTTGCAAGCCTTTCACTATTACGGGGAAATGTAAATGCGGGACTCTGGACCTGCATGGGGCCAATGCCTAATGAAGTGGGTGTCACCCAGGAAAGAGGGCTGCAGAGAGGCAAATGGCTGAACTGAAACAAAGAGCGACCTTTTGTGGTGCCAGGGTAAGTGGGACAGCTGGAGGATCCTGGATACAGTCAGAAAGGAAGAGGGAAGGGGGAGCCCAGCCTTTGGAAATAAAAGTGGAGGTTTACCCGCTCCCCGCTCGGCCCCAGGCTCTTGTGTACTACCTTTTGGAAGATGCCTGGAAGTCTGCTCAGGTAGAGAAAAAACTGTAAGAGTTCAGTATCTGTGCTATTTCCCCATGTTTGCAACTTGTTTTCTCTCGGCCTGGTCTCGCTGTTGGGAGCAGCAGCTACCCGTGACCGTGTCTTTAAGAAGGGCTTTGAGTAGACTGCTGGAGGGGCTGCCTCTGCCCTCATCAGGATTGGGTGGGGAAGAAAGGGGCCTTCAGGTGTCCAGTAGTGGAGGCAGCCACCCACAAGGCCCTGTCTAAACCACTGGACTGCTGGTCAACCAGCAGAGACAACTGACCCGGCAGGCCTGTGCCTGAGAACATCCGGGGTTCTAGACAGCATGAAGTCCTGGTAAGTCTCCCAGCAACCACTACAGCCTGAACTTAAAATATCTGTCCTGGCCGCCTACAGCCCATGCTAAAGCCGTTTTTATACACGTGTGCGATCTGTTCTGGAGAGTCTAGGCCACTGAGGGCAAGAAGTGGCCTTTGTGTCGTCACTCCCAGCAGCTGTCACAGAGATCAGCATGCAGAAGGCACACCTTAATTCTCTCATGCTGTGTAACAGCATCCCGAAACTGAGTGGCTCGAAAGGAGTCATTTATTATTTCCCATTGTTCTGCCTCTAGGACTCTGTTCGCCTGAGTAGTTTGTCTGCTCCTCCTGGCACCTGCAGGGGTCACCCATTAGGTTGCACTGCTGATTTGGCTGTGCTGGATGGTTTAAGGCAGCCTCACTCAGATCTGGCACTCAGATGCTCCTCCATATAGTGTCTGTCTGTCTATGTCTGTCTCTCTCCCCCCATTCAGGAACCTAGCCAAAATGCTTGACAGCCGATTATGGATATTCAAGAATAAAAGTGGAAGTGGCCTTGGCTCCCTACAGGCTGCACCCAAAACTGGCATGGCAATCCTCTCATCATACTCAATGGACCACCCCAGGTTACAAAGCTAGCCCAGATTCAGGAAAAGGCACTTGTGGTGGGCACAGGGGGCACGCTTCTAAAGGGAGGGGAAGAATTATAGCAGCCATATTTGTAGACTACCACCTGTTTTTGGTCAGTGTCTGTTGAATTTGTTTTCCAGCATAAGGACTAGTGGTCAGAATGGTCTCATCAAGAGAAGTTTATACTTTTCTTCCTTTCATGTCATGTGTGTGTGTGTGTGTGTGTGTGAGAGACAGAGAGAGAGAGAGAGATAAACCAATAGACCAGACCAGCACTATCTGAAAGAAACAATGTAAATTGCAAACATGAGTCAAGTATATAATTTTAAATTTTCTAATAGCTATATTCAATCAGTAAAAAGAAAGGTAAATTTAATGTTAATTAAATTTTATTTTATCCAATTTATATTTGTATTAGCTTTTTATCACTATAAAAAAACACCTAAGACAAGCTAGTTATGAAGGAAAGAGGTTCATTTTGGCTCACAGTTTTAGAGATTCACAGTCCAAGATTGACTGGCCTCAATGATTTAACCATCTCGTGAGGCTGCAGGAAGGCAATGACAAAGCATGTGCAGACGTGGGAACCACACAGAGAGCAGGAGACAGAGAGATCCAACCCAGGCTTGCACGACCAACTCTTGGATGAGAACTACCTGCCAAGGGCATGCCCTTTAGACCTAAGGACCTTCCCCTAGGCACACATCTTACATACCATAATCGGATCAAGTCTCTACCCTCTCAGTACCACCAACACGTGACCCTGGGGTTTAAAGTCCTATATGAGAACAGGAGCCAAGTCATGTTCAAACTATACCATTATTAAATCCAACATGTATCATTTCAGCATGTTAGCAACTAAAAATTATTAATAAGATATTATGTGTGTGTTTTTATTTTTTAACACAGCACATCCCAATTCAGACTAGCCACATGTGACTGGTAGCAACCACAGTGGACAGGTCATGGATAGACAGTCCATTAATTTTCCTTAACTCTAAAGTGAAGATAATCAACTAGAATGGGTAGGCACTGTAATGCATAACTTTTAGTGTCATTGTGAATTTTAGTTAGAAATAATCCATAAAGTATAATTTAGTTAGAAATAATCTATAAAGTACTCAGTAAGTACTTTGCCCACAATAAGAGCTCATTAAACGTTGGTCCTACTTTGTTGTTTATGGGTATCTCATTATTAGGAATAGAGAATCTCTTAAATTTGCTCAAGTAGGACTGCATGTTCCTTGACCTAGAAGAAATTTTCAATCTGCTCTTAACCAGGTTTCTTATTTTTCTCATTTCTTAAAGTGTCAGTTTTTGTGTTTCTGCTCCAAAGTCTCCTCCCCAGGGACCAGCATCCTCTTCTTACACAAGGTAACCATGGCTTCCCCAGCTCTCTGACTCTGACATGACCTTTGATAGACCATGACCTATTGATCACTGGCTTGGGTTCTCCATGTTTTCCAATTCATATTCCCAACAAGGGAGGGCTAATTGACCTGGTTCATCTCTGCACGCTAGTTCGAGCCCTACATCACTGGAGCAGCGGCTGCCTCAGCCCAGCCCGATCTTGGTCCCTCAGCTGTGCGTGGGGAAGGACCTTCTCACGGTATGTAATGAGGCCACCTGAAAATCAAGGGTTGTGGGTGGGGTACTTTCCTTTAGAGGCAGTGCGGCCAAACAGATGCTAACTGATATCCGGACACTCCCTTTCTGTCACTGGGACTTCCCAGCTGAGCTCATCAGTCTGGCCCTGACAGACGGAAGGCTTCCTCTCTTCACTTGCTACTACCCTTGACCGCTCACCACCTAACCTAGCAGCGAGACGTATGACTGGAGCCCTCGGGAACCCTGGCTGCTGAGGAAGTTCGGCCAGGCACAAGGTAATGCTCAGTCAGTGCAAAAGAATGATGGCACTCACTGCTCTCTTGTTTCTCACTGAAAAACCCTTTCTTGGCCCAGATTCTTATCAGACCACGTGGCTCTAAAGGCTTACTGTGCCAATACCCCCAGAAAGCGGTGTTTTACTGGTGGGGTTTATTATGTAATCTCTTGAATTAGACTTAACTTGAAGTGCTCATAAAAAACTCAGATTCCTAGTCCCCATTCCAGACCTGATCAGAATCCTAGCGAATGCAGCTCAAAACTCTGCATATTTATAAGCTATAGAGATAAGTCTAATGCACGAGTTTGAGAAGTGTTGTCCTATGCCTATGATTTTCATTTATTATTTCTGACTGTACTGCCCCATCCCCTGGCCTTGATGAGAACTCCTTTGCATATGTGTGGAATCTAGAATTTGTCTAGAACTTCACAGGGAATCTGAGGTTCAAGTATCCTCAGAGGTAGCAGAAATAAGACAAAGCTCCTCTCACCATCCATCCCGACCCAAACCTCTGAATTCAAACAGGGAGCACACACACTTTGCCCCTGACTTGACATTTCCCATGGGATGGCAAAGGGATTCACCTGGCAGCTCTTGTGCAATAAATCAGCACAAATCCCCAGGCACCACCCTGGATAGAGGCCCTTCTGGCTGGCAGCCTGAGTCACAGCTCCACTGGATAAGCTCAAAGAAGCCCCAGGCGGGGAGAAAGCAGTGCGTGTGGGGCTGCGACCCTGCAGAATCACAATGGAGCCAGTGTTTGCGTTAGAGCTAGACAATGACTGATTCAAGGGACAGGATGCCAAGGCTGAAGGGTGCTCTGGGTAAAGGGGAGGACCTTTCTTGGCTCAGTCCCTGCCTGGAAATGATTCCTTTTTAGTTTGTAATCCTGCTCGTCTTTTTTTCGTATGTCTAGGAGCGTGAACAAATGGTCATATGTCGCTTCCAGGGTAATCCCATCTTTTTCACATTTGACCCAAGAATTCAGACACTGCACTGCTCCATTCTGTCTTGGCTGCACATGAGTAAGACACAGCATTCTGCAGATTCTGAAGAAAATGAAGCAGTTTCTGGAACAATGGGGCAGAATTGACACGCGGCCCGTAACGGAGAGCAGTCTCCATTCCGGCAATGCCTCCCTGCGGAGTAGCTTGGCTTTCTAGCTCTAATCACTCATGATATTTTAATTTCTACTCCAGGACAGAAACCACCATTTGAGTTAATGGATAATTATTTCACTGTGAGCCTTTGCCCTAAGCACCTGTCTTTAACAGTGTCCAAGAATCTTCAAGGTAGCGCAAAAATACAAATGCCAGTAGTGTTCTTGAACGGCACCAGCTCATTCCTTCAATAGAAAACCTACTATCCTTTCTCTTTCCAGCCTGCAACTGGGGAGATTGCATTTCTGTCTCCAGTCCTTGCCTGAATATAGCTCACGGTAAAAGATGGTCCAAAGAGAGAAGAATTAACACAAGTATATGACAATAAAATAAACTTTGACTCAAGAGAAGGAGAAAAATGTGTTAATATTCTGGAGTTAAATATAGATTTTTCTCCTCTAAAATATCTATATTTTTCATATGAAATAAAAATGTTTTTAGGAATTATTTGCTTTTTTTCATAAGCTGAAATTATCTGATCAAATAGGAACAATGCTTCTTGTAAATACAACAAGCTAAATTGGAAATGATTTCATGGAATTAAAATATAGTACACATGGGCATTCATTTGGAATGTAAAAAACAATAAATATATAACAGTAATGAAAGGGCAAACTGGAGAAATTATACTAGAAAACAAAGGAGTAAAGATATATAAATTAGAGATAATAAACAGCTAACATGAAAAATAGAGACAAGGATCTAGTTTTATTGATACTACTGAGGCAATAATAAATGAAAATATGCTTAACCTTACAAACAAAAGCAATCTGAGTATATATTCAACCTGTTTTATCCCAAATAATCAACTGTTGAACAAATTCTGGCAATTAAATATAAATTTCAACATAAAGGATTATCTAATTTTAAAAATGAAAGAGGCTACAGATAAGACAAAAACAAAAAATTGGCATTCCTTAGACCTTTCTTTGGCAATAATGAGTGATAAAAAGTGATAAGAAATGTCTCAGAGAGCTACAGAGATGAGGCCATGACCTATACATTCAGAATTAGGAATTTATGTGACCTAACCTTAGAAGGACATTTTTAGAAATGCAAGCACTAAAAAAATGTATGCCTCACTTACGCCTCCTGAAATTTCCCTCAGAATGTTTACCAGGGCACCATGAATTGAGTCCAAAGTGAGATGTTAAAGACAGTAGGAGCAAAGAACTGGAAATAAACAGTGCCCCCCCCCCACTCATGAGGGATACTTTCCAAGTAGATGTCTGAACCCGTGGATACTATGAGCCCTATAATATATCATGTTTTTTCCCTACACATACATACCTATGGGAAAGCTTAATTTATAAATTAGGTGCTAAAGAGAGTAACGGCAACAACTTTAAATACAATGGAACAATTATAACAAAATATGGTGATAAATATTGTGAATATGGTCTCTTTCTCAAAATGTCATAATACACTTTTACCGTTTCACGTACAGTAAGCACTGGATGACTTCTCTTTGGCGCATCTGAGTTGCCTGCACCACTGCTTTCTGTGTTTTGGAGCCATTATTAGGTAACATGAGGTTTACTTGAACATAAGTACTCTAATACCACCCAGTTGACCTGTACTGAGACAGCTACTAAGTGGCTAGCAGGCGAATAGAATATAAAGCATGGATATGCTGGACAAAAGGATGATTCACATCTTGGGCAGGATGGCACAAACATTACCATGCTTTCAGAATGGCGCACAATTTAAAACCTATGTATTGCTCATTTCTGGAATTTTCCATTTGATATTTTTGGACTAGAGCTGACTGCAGGTCAGCTTTTTGTTGCCATAACAAAGCAACCGACACAGGCTATTTATAGAAAAGAGGTTTCTTTTGGAGGGTCACAGTACGAGACTGGACAGCCCCCCTGTCCTGATACCTGGTGATGACATTCTTGCTGGCAGATTTCCGAGGCGACACAAAGTATTGCATGATAAGAAGGAAGGGGTACTTCTATGTTGATGTCATCTCATAAACCACCGGAATTTGGGCTTTACCCTAATGACCCAATCCATTCACTTCTCAAAGGCCCCACCTCTAAACGCTGTATTTGGATTAAGTTTCCATCCTCTTAGTACCACTTGGGGACCAAGCCCACGGACCAAGCCTTCAACGTGGGCCTTTAGGGGACATTCAATACCCAAACTGATATCTAAACCATATCAGCAGGTAATTAAAACCACAGAAAATGAAGCAATGGATAAGGCGGAGCTACTGTTCAGAATCTAGTCATACATATGCACACACTTATTATAGATGAGCTTATAGGGACTTGTCTTTTTAAATTTAATTTTATTTATTTGAAAGTTACACAGAGAGAGGGGGAGACAGAGAAAGAGATCTTCCATCTGCTGGTTCACGCCCCAAATGGACAGAATGGACAGGGCTGGGCCAGGCCAAAGCTAGGAGCCTGGAATTCCATCAGGGTCTCCCACATGGATGGCAAGGGCCCAAGCATATCAGTCATCCTTGGCAGCTTCCCCAGGCACATTAGCGGGGAGCTGGATCAGAAGTGGAGCAGCCAGGACTCAAATTGGTGCTCATATGGGATGCTGGCATCACTGGCAGCCACTTAACCCACAGCGTCACAATGCTGGGCTCAATAAGTTGATTATTAAAAATACGCTAAAATGGATAAGTATATCTCAAGTTGTTCAGGTAAAATTACTGGAAATAATGGTAGCTGAGAAAGGAAGAACGTTTGATTTCTCATTCCATATAAAGAAGCACAAAGTTAATGTCTATTTGTAATAAAACAATAAATTAATCCTTCTGGTATCTACCATCAACTCACTGTCACCCTCAGTCACCTTCCCTGCACAGTCCTGGATTCCCTTTAGCCAGGGGAGAGGTTTGGAAAGAGACGTCATTGCTCTCTGGAGACAGTGTTTGCTGCCTAAAAAGTCGACGGCTGTTAGCTTCACAGCGCTTCCCCTGAGTCTCCAGGATCACTTGCCTCAGAGCCTGGGCTCAGATCTTGATGGTGGATCTGCTGGCTGTCACATCTCTGCCCTCCCAATGTTTGTGCCAGCCCCTAGCCCCTGTAGTCACCCTTTCGTTCCTGGAACAAATGGACAGTTGTTTTTCTGATTTAATCCTGCCTGAATCACTTGAGTTTTAGAATCACATCAGGGGTGAGCATTTGGCACACGACACCACTCAATATGACTCCTTGAAGTGTTGGGGTTGAGTCCCAGCTCCTGTTCAAATTCCAGCTTCCTGCTTGTGTCCACCCTGAGAGTCAATGGGTGACGACTCAACTGGCTGGGTCCCTACCACTCACCTGGGAGGCCTTTGTTGAATTCCCACCTCCTGGCTTCAGCTTGGCTCAACTCTGGCTAATGTGGGCGTTTGGGAAGTGACCCATCTCATGGAAGACCTTTCTCTGTCTGTGTCTCTCTGTCTCCCCAGCTTTCAATTAAGATGGAAATAAATAACTCTTAAATAAAAAGTGCTAAAACCAAAATATGATTCATTCATAATTTAGTCACCATAGAATTTAAAGCAGGAGGCATAGTTTCCAAATCACTGCAGAAGATAAATGCACACAAAATACTATACAGATAGCAAAAACAACAAAGAAAACCTTAGGCATAAAGCAAGATGAGAGAAGTAACATGAGGTTTAAAACACTTACGTCAACAAATGTCAACACTTTTAAACCCCCTTTAATAACAGGCAAAGATTTTTCCCTGGAGTAAAAACAACAAACAAGCCAGTGACTGCTTACCAAAGAGGACTTAAAATCACACTGGAAGTTCAAAATCAAAGGATAGGGGAAGGATATGCCAGTGAAACGTAAACAAAAAGAAAACAACCAAGTACTTAGGGTAATAAGGGTTAAATTGGGCAACTAGAAACTTTTTAAAAAACTTCTTTGAAAGTTGACACAGTTAGTTAATGAAAATATTTCCATTATGAAAAAGTTCAAGCAGTATAGAATTAAATAGCAGGAAAGACTGTTAACATTTTGGTGTTTGTCTTTTTAGTCTCCCATCATCCGGCAGCAAACACAGACTTTATATGCGAATTTCATAGAAACACCAGAGGAACAAAAAGGACTGTATTTTCCTTGATAATTTTCTTAGAAACAAGAAAATCTTTTCCCAAAGCTCCTACACACTTCTTGTGTCTTTAGTTTCTCCCCAAAGAAATATGTTTACCCTGATTGCCTTTTAGTAATCCTATAGAGTGAATCCATGATTACCACAAACACCCTGTGAAATTTTCAATGTGTATTAATCTGAAATATATTTATGTATGGTGCTAGGTAAAGATGTAATTTTATTTGAGAAAGATCTAATTATTTTCTTAAATTTATCAATTTTATTTATTTGAAAGGCAGAGAGTTAGAGATCTCCCATCTGCTGATTCACTCCCCAGGGCTGGGCCTGATTGAAGCCAGGAGCTGGGAACTGAATCCATGTCTCCTATGTGGGTGGCAGGGACCCAAGTACTTGAGCCATCACCAGCCACCTCCCAGAGAAGCTGAAATTGGGGAGCAGAGCTGGGTCTGGAATCCAGGTGCTCCAGTGTGGGATGTAGGCATCCCAACTGGCACCTCCACTACCAGGCCAAATGCCCAACTCAAGACCTAATTATTTTAATGAAATGCCACCTTTGATATACATGCACACACATGCACATGTACACATCAGCATATACACATGTGACTCCCTGGACTCTCTTCTTGGTCAACCTATCTTTTTAGGCACCAAAGTCTCTAACTCTGTTGTGCTTTGCTATGTGGGAAGACAGTCCATCCATATCCATTGTTTTTATTTTCCAAAATAGCTGTGTTACTGTCACATAGTTTCTTTGGAGAAATTACCAAATCTGCTTGTCAGGGTAAAAGGTCATCCTTTGTCATTTTGAATGGGGTTCCTCTCAACACCCATTACTCTGGGAGAAAACACCTTCTTCACAATACCAAACCCTCCAATCACGTAGGTCACATGGGTCTATTTTCTCTCAAAAAACAGTCATGGTTTTCTTCATAGTAGGCCATACATGTTAGTAGGTATAATAGGTTTAACTTGGGATGAAAAAGTCACAACATGGAACAATGGAAATTTATTTCTCCTGGATCTGGAGCTGCAAATCCAAGATGCTGGTATGTTGGGTGTTCAGCGAGGGCCACTTCTGTGGTCATGAATAACTTTCATCTCTTTGTGTTCTCACACGGTATAAGGGGCAAAAAAGACTCTCTGGGACTCATTTATGAAGATGCTAATCCCACTCATGAGGGTGCCACCTCCCAAAGGCCTTACCTCCAAATATCATCATATTGGGGATTAGGTTTCAACATGAGTCTTTGAAGGAGACATAAATATCCACCCAGAGGCACCTCCTGAAGACTCTCTCTCTACATACAGTTCCACTGGAAATTAGGGCTCTAGCATATGAATTTGGTGGGGGTGGTGGAGCACAATTCAGTCCACAGAATCAAGTTCATCATTGGTATTTCATAATGTTTGAAGCTAGTGCAGGCACAGAATGAAGTATTTAGTTGACTTGGTTCAATAGGAGCCATGGGGAAGAATGAAAGTTTACCTCTGTTTTTACCCTTTGAAGTGCACCTTATTCAATCAAGGATTCCTAACAGATTCATTCTCCAAAATGGCCACCAATGTATACTTCCACCAACAGACCTCCTGTTGTCCCACACCACTTCCTTTATTTCTAAAAGTCTTTCCCACACAAATGGGCTAAAACTTGATACTTACATTGGCATTACCATGATTGACAAGTGAATGTGAGCATCTTTTATAGTTAATGCTCTATTCTGTTTTTCTCTTTTTGTGTGTATTATTTGTGTCTTTTCCTGTTTATCTATGGAAAAGTAGAAGTAATAGTATGAGCCTGGGGGATGGGCATTCGGTGGAGCAGTGAAGTCTCATATCAGAATGCCTGGTTCAAGTCCTAGCTCCTCTGCTTCTGGTCCAGCTTCCTGGTTATGCACCAGGAAACAGCAGATTATTAAGTACTTAAGTCCCTGCTGCCCACATGGGAGACCTTCATGGAGTTCCAGGCTCTTGGCTGTTGGTGCATTTGGGAAGTGAACTGATAGATAGAAGATCTCTCTGCCTTTCAACTAAAATGAAAGCAAATAAAAATTATAAAAAATAAAAGTGTGCATTTATTTTGGGGTAAAACTTAGAAATCCATGAATAGTTTTTCATGATACACATTTTCTACTTACTATAAAAATTTTTACATCAAAATAAATGCATACTTTTAATGTCATTTTCTCATGGCTTTTTTTTTTTTGAAGTAGCCTCATACATGTACAAAGGTTTCTTTCTCTAATCTTTTGACTTATCTTTTCATGTCTTAAATATGTCTTTTGATGTGTCAAAGTTTTTCATTTTCATATAGCCATATTTATCACTCTTTCCTGATAATACATCTTGTCAAGAAATTCTTTCCTACCCCAAGGACATTAAGAGATTATCAAATATTTTCTTTTCATAGGTTTAAAGGCCTGTGTTTTACATTTGGGACTTTAATCCTTCTAGATATTTCTTTGGATAAAGGGAAAAGTAGAAACATAATAATGCTTTTTTCTACTTAGAAAACCCAACAGTCCCAACATCATTTAGAGACTACTGTGTCCTTTCTGCTCTTATTTGTCACATCACCTCTGTTATATGCCCAGTTCCCTTCTATTTGTGTTTCAGTTTCCAGGATCCTACTCTGCTCTGTCTTTTTCTGCATCTAGAAGCAACTTTTCCCATAGCAAAGTTGTGCATCTATGCATACACATATACGTGTGTGTGTGTGTGTTAGGGTTGCAGGTTGATCTTGAGGTAGTTTGGGATCTGAAAGTTTTTGTTATCAGAGAAGACTTATGGTAAGGGCCAAATGGGCCAAGAGCTAAGAGTTGGAGCAAGCATTTAGCCTAACAGTTACGATGCACACATCCTACATCAGAGTACTGGATTCAGTTCCCAGCTTCATCTCTTGATTCCAGCTTCCTCCCAAAGCAGATCTGGGGAACAGCAGTGATAACTCAAGTAATTGGGTTTCTGACATTCACCTGGGAGAGCTGGACTAAGTCTTTTGATCCTTTCTTCCACTCAGAGCCAGTCCAGCTGTTGCAGGCATTTGGGGAGTGAACCAATGTTTGGGAGTATATTCTCTTCCTCTCTCCCTCTCTCCCTGCCCCTCCAAAGTAAGTAAATAAATATTTACTTATCTTTAAATTGGGAAGCAAAATAAGCCACATCCAGTAATCTCAGGAAGTATTCAATTGCTCTAAAATTTCACAAATTCAGTCCCTCCAATGCTATAAAATCCTGGTGTATTATCTTTTCATCACTATAACAAAATAGCTGAGGCAGCAAACTTTATAAAGGAAAAAGGATTACTTAACTCACAGTTTTGGAGGTGAAAATCCAAGATCTGGCAGCCCCACTGTTTGGCCTCTGTGAACGTAGCTGATAGCAATCGCAGAGCTCACGGAGAGGAGGGGTCACAAGGCGAGCTAAGAAAGATAGACAGGCCCCACTCAGGCTTTTATAATAGCCCTCTCATGAGAGCTACCTTCCTAGGGCATGGCCACCAATGGCCTAT